TGGAAAATGGGACGAGCAGCCCGCCAACAGAGACATCATCTGCATCATCCTTAGCACCATCCACTGCTCAGGCGGTCGATGATGATGTGGCCACGTCAACGTCATCAATCACGGGCATTGGAAGTGCAAGTAACAGTGGATTCAGTGCCTCTTGGAGTGGCATCTCCAGCTCCAGCTCCAGCTCCAGCTCCACCTCCACTTCCGTTTCCGCGCTAGCTGCGCCTTTAACTTCCGGTCCGGGTGACTCCTCCTCGGCGCCATCGCCTTCGCTGAGCTTCATCCTGTTCGTCTGCATCGATTTGCTCTTCATCCTGCTCTTCTTTGCCCTGTTTGCCATTTTAATGAAGAAACTTTTGTGGTTGTGGCACAAGAATCGCAATGTGCATACGCATCCGTTGGATAAATTCAATCTGGCTTTGAACAGGCGGTAAGTCGAGAAAGGCTCGAATGGGCGAAATGGTAAATGGTGAATAGTAAATGGTAAATGGAAAATGGAAACGGGTTTGACAGATAAGACTCGAGGGAAATACTTAGATTTTAATGACCGCCCAGTACTTCCCATCGCTTTCTTCTGCCTTCCATTTCCATTTCCACTTCTCGTCTCGTCTAATCCGATCAAATAAAAAAGCGGAAAAGAAACAATTGCTGCCACAATGTTAAACGGAAATCTCTTTCGTCTAATTTAATGTATTTCCCCAGATTTGGATTACTCTACCGGGCGGGCGGACTGCTGCTGGCCAAACTCTGCACCGACGGACTCTTTATCGCTTATGTTAATTCATCACCGGATACTTTGTGGGCATATCCGTTCGGCATATCGTGCATACTACTGGTGAGTGCGGGGAACCGTTTACATCCACTTAGCCACGTCAGGTGGACCGGCAATTGAAATTCAATTAGGCGCACCATCCAATCAATACATACTCGTACATCTCGTACATACATATATCACTGGACGGGATTAAGGTCGAATGTTTGATGCGGTAACAATCCCATTTGCCGGTCCAACTATTAGGTCCACTTGCACTCACTTGCCGCGCAGGCTTATGCAAATCGCATTTCGTTTTATTTCCGACGACTTATTTAAGTTGCATATTTTATCAAAGTGTGAAGCCTGCATATTTTTACACCTGCCATGCCGTGCGAATTATGCATGCAAAATCAGACCGGAATATGGGGCGGCTTTTCAGCGAGTGTGGGCGTGGCAGCAAGGACTCCATTGACTGCATTAACTGCCTGATCAAAGAGCTGAATAAGAAGCCTTTTTCGTGTTTATTCTGCCCTTGGCTTTCACACTTGGCTTCGGTCTCCACTGCCACTGCCACTGCCACTTTTACTTTCACTTTCACTTCCATCTGCAGCATCTGTTATTGCTTGCTTTTTATTCCAGCTCCTGGTGATTTGCTGTGCAAATGAAATAAGTGCGCTCGACTTATCCACCTGGCACTTGAGTGGCGTCATCTCCTTGTGTTTCAATTTTATATCAGCCAGAGGACGCGGGCCCCATTTCATTTTTCTAGCCATGGCATTTAGCCATCCGTTTTATGCTCTGCGCACGCCCAGCAATCAGCTCAATCCAATTAAATAAACAATTATCTGCACGGCGAAGTGTATCCTTCTGCCGTATCCTGGCGAAACTAATCACATAATTACACGCACACACTTTGATGTGGCAAGCCGGCAAGTGAGCGCGCGTGTGTGTACCGATGTGCCACTCGGCGTATGCGTAATGCGCACATGGCACATTCAAATTCAAACACAAACACAAACAAATTAGGTCGAGCCGCCGCCTCCTTGAGTCCAAAACCACAATGTCTACAACACCCTCAGTGCTCAATGGTCCTGCTGGCCCAGGACTATTAATGTGCACCAAAATCACTTTGATTGTGGGCGTTTACAATGGTGCGTCTGTCTTGCTATTTAATTATTTAAACAGTGGCCAAGTCCTATACAGCACACTCCGAAAAACGTATTCCACTCGGATCGTTAAATCCAAATTAAGTAGTTCGCTGATAAAGTAAGCTAGAGCTACTTCTAATGGACTTCTTAGTCCATTTCAAGTGAAGACATACATTTTCTTATTTTAAGTTCATCATCATATGGCTGTAATCTGTTTTCTCTGTGTATTAGCCCCTCTAATATGTATTTAAATATCCTCTGCGCATCCTGAGCTAATCAATATAATTAGTGCAATACAGTCGATTGAGCTTAAGGCTCCTACGCTGAATTCGCTATTAATTTGTTCGAAAATCCTGGCCTGGAATTTGGAATTTGGAGCATGTCTCCCATCAATTGCGCTCATGAAAAAAGGATATAATAGCCATACGAGTATATGGGCCATATGGTTTGGCCTCGATTTATGGCCGCCTTTTGGTCATACATTTAATTCCCCAATCGCTTGGTTTGATTTCACGGCGAAAGGGGCCTCCACCTTGCCCGTAATCGAAGGGTCATCCGTGACTTAATGACTCCATTCAGGCGACATCCCATCCCGTTGACAAAAACCAATTTTTATTAGGGTCAGCCCAGATGGGCTGGAAGTTTATGCAATGCCCACAATGACGGCCATGATTCAATCGCCTTTCCAGGGCTCGGCCATCCTCATCTGCTTCGTCATCAAGGCCGAGAGCCAGCTGCGAGGACCACCCTTCCTCTCCAGCAACGGGAGCAGCCAGAACAGCTCCCTCAAGCAGGCCAAATTCAACACGAGCAGGAGCAGTCTGGACGAGAACTACTGCACCACCACGACGACGGCGAATGTGAACAGTCCGCTGAGCTGTACGTTTTAGCCCCCGAAATCCCCCCCAGCTTCGGCCAACTAATCCCCACCTCTCCCTCTGCAGTCTACACCAACCACGACAAGGAGAAGGAGAACGACTGCGCCGTGTCCTTGTCAATGTCGAACGCAGGCGTGTCCACCGCAGCAGTCGGATCCCTGGCCTCATCAGGCGGTGTGGTCGGCGCCCCGCCCCTGCAATCGAAGGTGGGCCTGGACATGTCCGGAGCACAAGGAGCCGGTGTCCCACTGCCGTTGACAATCATCTCGACGGCGCCGCGCTGTCAGGTCGCAGCAGATGGAGCGACGGAGTCCTTCCTGGGCGACCGCCAGACCCTCTCCGTGGCCCCCTCGCCGGACACCCGGTGCTGCGCCATTTTGGGCGGCGGAACCGCCTACGATGCGTACACCATGGGCGTGGGCATGGGCATGGGCATGGGTGTGGGCGGACTCACTGGTAGCCTGGGAAGACGCACTTTGCATCAGCAACCGACGCACTTTCGCCCAGGAGCCTGCGGCGAGTTTGTGGGCGTCGAGACGCTCGATATTCTGCAGGGCGTGGCAGCTGGTAAGTACACAGCGACAAAAGTTGTCCAATAATAGAATTTTCAAAGTTTTAATGTCTAATACTGCGGAGTGCATGAATTTAACACACAGCAAACACCTTTTCATAAAAATACCCACAAAATTAAATTGAATAGATATTTAATAAAATATTTAATTCTCCGTGCAAAAACAGTGTATATGTGTATGCATACTTGGAGCATGAAGCCAAATGGGCATGCATTATTCACGATCCAGAGTCTGATTACCACCTCCCCTCTGCTCTTCAACCCACAGACAGCATAATTGGCATCCACACCAGCGCCATAATGCCCACTGCTACAAGCACTTCTCATTATGTTCCGCTGCAGCATAATCCCTACGTGGACTTTGTACCCAGCTCCCTAATCCTGAGCATGGCGCCACCTCCGACCATAAGCGGAAACCTGAGTGGGGCTGCGATGCAGACGATTCCGACGATGCCGACGATGCCCACGATTCCCACGATGCCGACGATGCCCACGATGTCTTTGCCCACCCAGACGCCGAAGACGCAGAAGCGAGTGACCATCCTGGAGCCGACGTCCCGCACGACATTCGACCCCCTGCTCCCCACCATGGTGGCGGCAGTGGTCTCCACATCGACTGTCACCAGCACGGCGACCACGACGCCGGCCACGCCCACACCCACGCAGAGCAGCTGCAGTGGCGGTGGCAATGATGCAACGCTGGATCGGATCACCCTCGATCTGGACTACTTGCTGAACAGGGGGGCTGCGGAAGCCGCCGACGGAGGTGGGGTGCCTCCACCGCCCACCAGTGAAGATGGCCAACAGAAACAATAGCAATACCCGCGAGTTGGGAGGCAATAGTAGGCCAAATGCCCACACTAAGATGCATTTAAGAGGCTTCGTTTTTCTATCAACAGATGTAAATATGTGTAAATCAAATTTCGAAACTAAACTACAGTAGGAATCTCTGTGAATATTCATCTAAGTATGCATCAGATAGCGATACCAAATATGGATAACAATCAGTTCAACTCCTGGTTTTCCCAGTTCTTTATCAAATAAACATAAACACATGCAATCTTAGTTTCGAAACGAACTTTCAGTTCCATCGATCCATGAAATGTTCAAAGTTTTCGTCTTTCAAAGTGATTTAGACATCAATCATACCTAGGCTCATATTTAGAACACAGTTTAGGGTTTACGTCATTGCATATGTAAAACAAATTGAATGAATTTAAACTAAAGATAACTTTTTAGCTAGATTTACAAAAGCCTACTGAAGGGAATACAATGGAACGAAATTAAACAAATTAATGAGCGAGAACACGGTGAGGTGTAAACATGTTTTTGATTCCATTTAAAGTTTCCTAGAATTAAAGCCAAATTAAGCCCTATTAAGAAGCAGAGATTAAATACAAAATACAATAATTGTAAAACTAAACCTAACAGGACTATTTCTGGAACAAAACAAATTATACAGATATATCTTTAAATAAACTCAAGACTCTTGTTAGAAAACCTATAACATGTGTGTGTGTTTCAATTCAGAAAAAGAAAATGAAGAGCATTTCTGTAAAGTGTAAAAACAAGGTAAGATTTCTCATCTCCCAAGGAAACCGACTTTCTGACTATGTATCATAGAATCCGAAGCACCGGCCTGAAAACTCGAATTTCCTGTTTAGTAAATATTAGTTTCATTTTCTTATTTGTATACAAGTTAAGATATTGCACAACCCTTCCGTACCTCGGAGTTTCCCCGCGATTATTAAAATTCCACCAGATGACCCATCAGATAGGTCACATTCTCACTGCGAATGGCGAAGAAGAATGGATGGTCAGCTCGGAAGAATTTCTGGCGGGAGGAGTTGCTGATCACAATGGGCTTATATTCTGGAAGGATTATGGACGAGGTGTACTCGTATTTATAGCCGGGGATTTCAATGAAAATTCAATACCTGTAGCATTTTTTAGCAACTCGGGTCCGGATCCAGACTCATTCAAATTGATACGCAGCTTTTGGAGAACATTGGCAATGGGCAGATTCGCGGATGAATGCAGGTGCTTGAAGTTCGCGGATGCAGCAAATATCTCCTCGAAGCCGAGCTAAAAGAAAACACATATTTTGGAATAAAATTGGAAAAGGGGATACATTTATTGATTCACGGACCTGTTTCAACGGCTGCCGCAGACTGCACTCGAAATCGATACTGAATTTGGGCAGCAGCACCTGCACGCCCTCCATCTGCATTCTCTGCTGCAGTGCACCCAAATCCAGGTCATGCAGCTGCTTCTCCAGTTCCTGAAGGCCACCGCGCTGATTGGGCAGGATGAGCAGCATGGACAGCTCCTCGGCGTGCTCGTAGGGAAGCTCAATGGCGCGGGCATCCAGATCCCGCAGCTCGGCGAACTTCACAAACATGTCGTCGTCGAAGAGCATGGGCACCGACTTTACCTGGCTGCCACTGTGGAACTCAAAGAGTCCGGTTCTGTAGGCACTGAAGGGCAGGAACCACTTGCTCTGCAGAGTGGCCGCCAGCAGGAGCAGCGTTTTGGCTGCCGCCCCACCTGTCACCTGGGTATCCTTCCAGCATCCACCTCCCACGCTGGCCAGGATCTGTTCGTTAATGTGGCGGCGCAGCTTCTCCGTTTGCTCCAGGTCAACACACTCAGCAGTGGCATGGAAGTAGGTTTGGGCTATCTTCTGGAAATCCTCGGCAACACCAGATTCAGATCCCAGCATCAATCGGCTCTGCAGCTGCAGGAAGGTATCTGCATCTGCTGTGATGTTGGCCAGTTCCGCGGCATAGAAGTTGGCCATTTTGGCATTGCTGGGAAAGCGTTGCTTCAGCCGCAGCAGTTTCTGCAGCTCCTCGGCCGTGGCCCCATCCGATCCCAGGAAGAGAAGGGACAGAGTGGCTTCCAGTAGTAGTGGTGATACCAGCACATTTTCGTCTGCAAAACTGGTTGCTATGCTGTGGTAAATACCAGCACCCAAGTGGCAGTCGTAGGGCGTTGGATTGGCGGCTTCACTCATTCTGGCTTTACTTTCCGTGGATGCTACAAAGGATTCTGCAAGTTATAATTCCATAATTGGAATTAAAGTTTTGTAATATTTGTTGGCAAATTTATTTAATTTATTTAGCATATATATTTAATTATGAATTACTTTACTTTGAACTGTGGAAGGGGTGTATCATGCCACATTTTCCTGGAATCTAATGAAATCTGAATTTCTTGAGAAGCCTTGGGCAGTGTTTTGTATGCGGATGAAGTCTTATTAATATTATAAAGGCGTGAATTTATCGCTTCCACATGGTTGATTCAATCAAAAGTAATTGTTTAGTATAAATGCGCCCTTCGGCATAATGCAAAACACATGTGCCAACGACAACATATGTATGAATGTACATAAATTTGTGAGTAAACTTGGCCAAATTTATTAGGGCCATGAGATGCTTTAAATAAAATGAAAATATAATTTCGAGCCATTCGCCAGCGGATCCATTGAATCCTATTTAAATTCACCTTGGCTCTTGAAGTGCACACTGTAATGAAAATGTAAATTGTCTTCCATTTCATTTGGCCTGGCCCGCGAGAATACAAAAGAAACGCCTTGAACAAATAAAGTGAACTGAACAGGGAGCACACTAGGCCAAACTTGACACTATTTTCGGCAAGTAAACAAAGCGGAAACGCCGAGGCGGAAAACTTTGTGACAGGGCTGTGGCTATATATTTGCGGCAACTTTTAATTTCACGCGAATTTCGGCAGACGCCACTCGCACCCCAACCATGCCCACGCCCACTACAGCGCCCACGCCCACTCGCTATATACGTGTAGTTTGCCGATCCGAGGCTGCAGCTCTGCACGCCGATTTCTACGCGACGCGCACACTTGCGCGCTTAATTGCCACATCAACAAACAAAATACGCGCCCACCCACCCCAATTGGAAAATGAAAACGGACCGAAACGAAACGAAAAGCGTTTTCCGCTTGAAAATCGCGAGAAGCACGCTGCCTACACCGAAACAAAAATCGTTCATCCAAATTATCACAAAATCATGTCACTCGGCGGCATTAAGCCATTTCCTTAAAATAAATATAAATAAAACTTATAAAATAAATTTTTTATAGATACTTGACCAACTTTAAATTTGACTTCACTTGAAAAAAAAAAGCTGAAGTAAATTTTTTACAAATGATTATTTTTAAGCCCGTTCTCCGAGAATATTCATATTGTAAACTTTTTAGTTTCACAGTAAATTTTCTTTTTAGATCCTTTCCAAGAATATTTTCTAAGTACACATGGAACAATTTATAATTTGTCATATTAATTTAGATCTTAACCTTTCAAAGTAAATAAATATTTTTTGTTGTGTATAGCCACACCACACTCGCTATAAAGTAGCGCTGTTCTATTGCTACATAGATGTTTATTGTTTATTTTTGGTGTGCCAATTTTTTTTGGTTTATTTGCCGAAATTAACTGCATCATGAGTTAGTCAAAAGTGCTTTAGTTTTTAAGACTTTTACTTCTTGTATTTTTTAAATGTGTAAATGCACCAAGTGGCATATGGTGAATCCCCACTGGATTTTTATTGAGGCACATGAGATCACAGAATCGTTTTCGAAGTGGCATCATCAACAACAATAGTTTCGATACAAATTCAGTGAAAATGGGGATTGATTTTACACATTTATTCTCATATGAAGGCAACATGCGAATCTACAGACTGATTTCACATCCGGTGCACTATTCTATTACCTTATTTGAATTCGTTAGGAATTGAAGAGCTTGAAATGCGAAATGTATATCGTCTTGCAATTATATAAATTAGTGGCCTCTAGAGACTCACGCCCGCACGCAGCTTCGGCCAAAAGTCGACTAAACGCTTGCGCTCGGAAATAATAAAATAGCTCGAAACCTCGAAGAACCAATTGGATAGATCCATCCGCCCGCCTCATCGGTGACGACAACTTGGGCAACGCGGAGGCAAAAGCTCCGGCTGGCCAATGCTTCCACAACTCAGTCTTTGCCGATGCTGAATTTGTAATCTATTTTTATAATTTGTTTGCCGCTAGTTTAGACAGAAAGAAAATTCGCCGAATCCGACGCGCTGCATCCGATGGGATAAGTTTGTGGACATGGTTGTTGATGTGACGTCGCCCCACTTGCTTTGTTTTTGCCCTGGACCCACCACTGCAATCACCACGGACGCTGGTGCCGCTGCCGCTCATCTTAATTGAGTTGTATGGGGCGCGTTCTGTGCCAGTAGTTGAGTTGAGTCGGGTGTTTAATCATTATATCTAATCTGGAACGGTTTTGGGATCGCTGTACGCTTCCGCGGACCACTCAGCTTGAATGGGCGTGGCTGCGGGAGATAGCTCTTTAATCTTCCGGCTATCCGCTTACGGCCCAAATGCGATTTAAATGCACAAAAACCCATGTATTGACTGCACGACTTTTTATCGCAAATTTACTGACAAAAGGCGCCAGCACAGAAGGGATAACCTTTTTAATACGATTGCCTGTATCAGAATATGCATTTTTTCTCAAAGCCTACGATATTATTAAATACTTTTTATGAAATCGCGCGAATATAGTTTAAATACATTATTCGGGTAAAAATAACGCCTAGGTAATTAATTATTCAAACAATTCATTATTTATTGACAACTCTGATTGGGGTATGTGGACACTAGTGTGAAGGGGATGAGTAGTTGTTGTAATGCTTGCGCGAAGGTGGAGGATTAAAAGCGTTTTCCGAATACATAAATAAATACTAAACAGCCTAAAACATATCCGAAATGAGCTCGAAACGTAACCAATAAAAAGCCGAGCACACGCAAACAGACGGGCGCCCTGAACAGACGGATTCTGTGCAACAACCATGATCCCAGCCAGCGCAGCTGCCCGAGCGGTTGCATCCTGTACGAGGAACACTGCACCGGAGATCCATGCTGCAATCTGTGAACTCCAGTGCGAAGAATGCGGGAATGTTGAATGGGATTCATGCGAAGGCGGGGGTACGGATGGTCTCTGCCAACCAGATTCAATTATGAATTTGCGTGCGTTTCCATGAATACCTCCACGTGTTTGGGAATGTTTGTGAGATGTGTTGATGCGTTTGTTTGACAATGGCATAGCTTGTGACAAAAAATGTGTTAGCGCGGTCGAAGGTGTAGTTTGTAAGGCGTGTGAGCGGCGTATGGAATATGTGGTGGGCGATTAGTCTAGAACGTGTAGCCACCCTCGGGAGCCTTGGGCTGAGTGGCATTGAACTCGAGCGCTCCGTTAACCTCCTGAGGAGCGAGTTCTTGCTCGGCCTCGTCGTCGGCGTTGCTGAAGTAAGTGTCGATGATGGCGTAGGCCTTCTTGTATACCTCTTCGTTCTCGTGCTGCTGCAGAGTTTCCAGCTTATCTAGACCGCCCATCTCCTCGACCATTAAGCATAAGTTCTCGGTGCCACCAAGTTTCTCCGCCAGGGCGAAAAGATTGGATAGGCCCGTCTGCACCACCTTGATAGTACGCGGATCCTTTGCATCCAGCAGATCGATAAACGGCTTCAATATTTTGTACTTTTCAATTAGATCTACGATCTGTTCGGGAGTTCCAGACGTCGTGGTGTTTGTCACCGCCCAGGCTGCCTCTTTCTGGGCCTTGAAATCTCCTTTCTCCAGCACGGTGCGCAGCTGCTGAAAGATGCCGGCCTGAATCACCGCTTGGATCTGCTTCTGGTTACCTGCTGTGATGTTGCTGACCGTCCAGGCAGCCTCCTTGACAATGTTACTCTTGTTGTGCTGCAGAAGAAGTCCCAGCCTAGGTAAACCTCCAGATGCGATTACAACGTCAGTCTAATACACAAATTAAATAAACGGGTCAGGCATGTTACAGAGAAAAAAAATCATTTGTTTTCTTACCTGTTGATCTGTGCCGGTCACAATGTTGCCAACGCTGCGCAGGGCGGGCACAATAATGCTCGGCTCGTCCATTTGCAGCAGTTTGACCAGGCGCGGCACTGCGTCCGAGTCAACCACTGCTTGGATCTTGCTGTTATCGTCGTCAGTAACGTAGGACAAAGCCCAGCAGGCGTCGGCCAGCACTTGGATGTCCTGACTAAGCAGAAGCTGGGACAGAACGGGCAACAGCCGCTTCACCTGCTCGAATGGCGGCGAGGGATTCTTGTTCCTGCACAGGTTGGACATCAGCCAGACGATGTTGCGCAGAAAAGAGAGCGGCGTCTCATTGTTGATCAGAGGCAAGATTCCGTCAATTACGTTGTGGTGGATGACAATGTCGCGGGCCGCGGCTCCGTCGCCGGCAATGTTGCCCAGAGCCCAGACTGCCTGCTCGGCCAGGTTGGTAGACTTGGACTGGAGCAGCGCCACGAAATGCGGCACAGCATTGTGTTCGATAACGCAGCGCGTTTGGTCGGAGGTACCGGAGGCGATGTTGGTAAGCGCCCAGGCGGCCTCGAACTGCAGCATTGAGCTGGAGATTCAAGGAATTCAGTAATGGTCTTATTGACATTCTATAGCCACTACTCACTTGTTGGTATTCTGCAGGAAGCGTATGCAAATGGGCACAATACCATGGCCGATCATCAGGTCGATGGGCGGATTGCGCTCCCGACTGAGCATCTTGCGAGCAGACTGCATGCCCAGGAACTGGCGCTCCTGATCTTCGCTGTTCATGGCCGCCACTATCTCGTCCACGGACAGCTGCACCGGCGACTGGCCATTGAGCTCTTTGAGCGGCGAGGTGAGGTCCTCGTCGTTGATGTTGCGCCGCTTGAACATCTGGTCCTCCTTCTTGGACTTGCGCAGCTCGATGGTCACCTCATGGCGACGCATGCGCGAGTCCTAGGGCACAAAGTGAGGTTAGTTCCGAACGAAGTTCTGAAGAGGATCCGCGGCATCTGGTACATTACCTGCGTGTTGATGGTGTTGGCCTTGTACGAGCCCTGTCGCGAGTTAGAATCCGCCTTACTCATTTTTTCCAGTTTTTGTTTTCCCTTTATAAGTTTTGATGTTGTTGCTGCGATGAAATGTATGGAACTGAAAAGGAAAATGAGAGCCGGGAATAAGCTGCTGAATCAAGGGCTGCTTGGTTTTTTTCTCTTTCTTTTATTTCCCTGTTCCTTTCGGTAGACCGGCTTTAGCAAGGGCGAGCAACAGGGGCGTCGGCATGAGTTTAAGAAAGGGGTTTCTTTGTCGGCAGAAAAGGCTTATACTAGCCAAAACAATATAAAAAGCCAAACATTTTAAATGATTATTCTTCTTATGACCGTCGCGCAAACCCCTGCGAATTCAGGACTACGCCTTTGGTTGGCAACAACAAAGCAACAGCTGCAGTAGCCGCCATTTGCAGATTCCGGAAAGAGGGGAGCATAGAAGGGGAGAACAGGAAGAGGCGGCATAGAAGTAAACGCAAGTAAAAAGCAATGGAAAAACTGCGAAAAGGAACAAACGAATATACACGCACTTACCTTCGCCTTTTTGGTTGCGTGTGCTGGCTTTATAGGCTAGAAATTCACTTCACTGAAATTTTATACAATTTTGATCGCTTTTACGAGAGGCGAGCACGAGAACTTATCGAGCGTGTTAGCACGCTGAATGTGCCGATGGAACTGTGCTGTGACAAACGTAGAGAATCTCGAAATCACTGAGAAATGGGAGTCAATGCCTGCTTGGCGCCGCGTGATTTTACCGTTGGATTTGAAAAGCAAGCCTTAGAGGCGAACAAAACGCATATGGCTTATCGATCTTTGTCAGCTATCGATGTTTGGTGCCAGTGTGAACGTAAGTGCTTAACATCGAATGTTAAGTTGCTGTTAACTTTGTATTATTTCCCGCATAGCTAAACGCTCTTAAGCTTTTAACAAATATGTACATTTTTTTAACAAACATAATAATAAAACAAACTGAAGTTACATACATTTTTTGGCCCCACCGATCGCTTGCCAAGTGGAGGAGCTGCTTTTGAGTTCCATTATGTCTTTGTGGAACGTGGAACGTGTGCGCATGCAAGCCACATCCAGCTAACAGCTGAATAGAAACCGGCTGAATCTGCACAGTACGCGGGCTAATTTAAATTTTTTTGTCGGCCATTGCTATTGATTACTAGCCTTTACTCTTGTAAGTTGTAAAACCTTACCCTTAAATTTATTTACAATTATATGCATTTGTGGTTTTGTGATTTTTTTATAAGAGTTTTTATTTTTGCAGTTGTAATCAATTAATTTTTTTCGCAAGCATTGTTTTTGTATTTAACATATATGTCTGTTTAATATTTACTTTTATTTTCCTTCTTCGAATAAATGTTAAAAACCATCAATATTTAATTAGACAAAAATAGCCATTTAAATTAATATTTAATTCGAGGAAACAAAGTACTGATTTTATCTGTCTACCTATAAATATTGAATTTGATTGTCTTTTTTTTGCTTACAAATATGTTATCATTGCACTAATACCATTTAATCTCTCGTTTATCACTAATAATGCAATAAATGAGCAGATATTTCCGGTTGAGGCTCTTTTAATTTTGTTTATGTGTGTCAGAAATAAACAACTATTTTTTTAGGGGTAATCACCTCTGCTGCCAATCGATTTAGTCCCATTTTCAATTGTGTGTTTTCCGATTTCTTTGAGCAGTAATCCGCTAAATTAATATGGGAAATTAATTATTTAAATGCTTACACTTTTGAATTATCACTTTATCAGCTTTAACGAATGCAGCTTGGAATAATTAACTTAACCCCTTTTTTCACTTTAATTAGTAGAAGCCGTTTTAGTATTCTCGAAGTATTTTATTAATTTTTTCAATATTTCCGTTCATAGTCCAATTTAGGCCGTCTTCTTGTTCTCCTCAGTCACTGGAGCAGCAGTGGTGGTGCTGCTGGCCTCAGGGGCAGATCGTGCCTCCACCACATCGGAATCATCGCTGTCGGGAGCTGGAGAGGATTGGCCAGCTGGAGAGTAGGGCGGGAACTGCTGATCCTGGGGATACGATTGCTGCTGCTCCTGCTGCTGCTGCTGCTGACCCTCGTTGTAGTCAATGGGAGTGGGTTCCAGCTCGGGCTGTTGGGCCACAGGAGCCTCCACCACCTCACCCTGCTGCTGGGCAACCTGTTGAATCTGCTGTGGAGCGAACACCTGCTGGTGGGGATAGTAGATGGGAGCGGGCAGCGAGGCCACGGGAGCGGAGACCTGGACGGGAACTGGAGCTGGAGATGCCACGGAAACCACTGGAGCAGCCACGGCACGGGCAGCCACGACCGGTTCCCGCTGCACCACCGCATTGAATCCGTTGATGTCATCGGCGGTGTAGGTCACTGTGCGCTTGAAACCATCGGCATCCAGGACGGAGTAGGATCCCACCACATTGCCGCCGTCCCGGGACTCGACCTGGCTCTTAATGTCCCCGGTGATGCTGTCGTGGACGCCGTATGAGAAGTCGTAGCGCGGAGAGGACTCCAACTCCACCTGCTTCAGAACCGCGGGGGCAGCAGCCACAGTCTTCACCACTGGAGCAGCGACCACGGGAGCAGCAGCCAGGGTCTTCACCACCGGAGCAGCGACGGGCAGAGCGAGAGGAGCAGGAGCCACCGCCTTCACCACTGGCGTGGGCAAGGCATAGGATCTGGTGTACACAGGAGCAGCGGGCACAAAGGTCTTTGCGAAAACTGGAGCCGCCTGGTGGTAGACAGCAGCCTGGGCCACCGGAGCCGCATGGTAGACGGCAGCTGGAGCCTGGTAGGTGGCATAGGCAGGATGGTAGCCGGCATAGGTGGCCGCGAATCCTGCGCGACAGGATGCAGTGATGGCCAGAAGGGAGAAAACAGTCAGGAGCTGCACAGAAAAGGGTTTGTTAGGTCAAGACATTGATATTCAATCGTATTATCATTCTATCTGCAAATTGGTTATTTTTAAGAGATTCACAATTTAAACTATTTTCTACTTTATATTTCAGTCAAAAACTGAGTTTGCATTCATACATGCAAATGAAATACACAAAATGAAATTCCATTATACAATTTTTCCAAATCCAATATTCATTTCAAATCGAAGCATTGCCGATTGGATTGGTTTTATTTTCATGATTATGCAAATCACAAGTTATGAATACAGGCGCACTTAAATTGAATTTGCTTCCTATTTTTTGGCTAACACCGATTTTAAACATTTAATCGATATTGCATTTTTCCAGATTTATAGAAAAATGCATGTAACTGCCAGCAGCTTTGGCTCGATATTTTTGAAAAGGATATATCAACACACAAGCTGAGGAACTGCCTTGAAAGTAGGCCATTCTGTTGGCCATGGAGACGCCTTTTAAATCGAGCTGGTTAAAGTTCCACTTTATTAAACTCACTTTGCCTGCCATTGTGGAATCACTTCCTTTGGACTGGACTGGGTTTGCTCGAGGATAAGTTGGCACGTGCCGCACAGGATGCGAAGACTTTCTGGCTGACGACTATATATCCGTCCGACTCTTGCAGAGGCGTTGACTTAATGATGTCGACCGCTCCCGTCGCACGTCACTTTATATGGGGCGTCAGAATTAGCCCCCAAAGAAGTGGCGCCCTCCACAAAAACGAAAAAAAAAATAAAAAACAGAAATCCGAAGAGCAAACCGGTAACAAGTACTAAAGTGTCTCGGCATCTTGGTTGACAATTTGACAATTGCGGGCCAAAACTGGTTTCGGATAATTTGTCTTTTTGTCCACCGTTTTGGCACTGCCATCGGCTTGAGTTTCAGTTTCAGTTTCAGTTCGGTTTGGGTTTGGGTTTCGGTTTCAGTTGCTGTTTCTGTTTCTGTTTCAATTTCGTTTTGGCTTTCCGCTCCATTTTCGATGTCAAGTTCGGCGCTTCCTTGTAGGCCTACTCCCCGAGTTGGTAATTAATTGCGATTTGAGTGCCGTTCAATTAACTTTTCAATTGTCAGCTCGCCACCTTGCAGCGCCCTCTGTCGGCGCACAACGCACTTGAGAGTCACAGTGCTTTTTTCTTGGCGACATTGCTGTCAAGTTGTCCCTAAAGCCAACTATTTCTCCACCTCCCACGAAAATACAGGTGGCTCGTCAACACCTCCATGTGCCCAACTATATATATTTATGTACATACATATATCTTTCGACTTGGGGCGTTTGCTTCACTGGGCGCATGATTTTCGGTTTTTTGTTATTTCTGTCTTTTAGAAAATTTATTATTGTTCCATTTGCTGTTTATTTGCTGTCGCGCATTCAGACATTGGCACAGTTTCACGTAGTTTCGCACTTTGGAGCGCAGGCCTGGAAATTGCCAAATCGGATTACTAATTGCAGGCCGCATTATTTATTTGTCTCTTTTATTTTATTTTCCATGAATGAGTTGGTATCCATCAAAGGTTGCCAAGCAGGAACAAATGGCCCAACGGGTCATCGAAAATGGGTCTTAATTGATAATAATAGGCAAGAACCGAAGGCTGCCCCAAAAGGCTTTTCTAAGAAACGCGCCCCCCGCCCAACCAAAAATGTGTCAACTCATTTGAGCGCCTCGAATCGATGTAATTAAGCGCCTTCAACGAACCAGCCGCTCCATTATGGCCACAATTGTCTCCGGATGGCCGTAAACAATGGGCCATCAAGAGATCGCCGTTCAATGACTCCCCCCACCCCAACCCCCCTCTGGAGGCAAGAGGAATTGAAAGTGCGTGTGGCGTCCGTGAGTTTTCTGCGGCCATAAACATCCGATTACAGCGTCCAAACACGTAGCTCCAGCCCATCAAGATGCGTGGGCAGACAGGGGATGGGATATCTACATACGAGTATGCATATATCACACGCTTGAACTTGAAAAGTCTGGGCATCGGAGAATGGCACACGCTGGATGGATGCCACCTGCCCTTGCCCCCAACACACCAAAGTGCCCCAGGACACGCCTCAAAGGAGCTTAGATTTCCATTGAGTGAATCCTTTACTTCGCCTTTTGCCCACTCATGTGTTTGCATATACAATGTACAAATGGTAGACCGGCTGAATAGAAAGTACCGGGAAATCGATGTTGCTCGGTGGATTCTTTTATGCCTCGCTTTCAGTCGATTTTCTGTATATTTCTGCGATACATTTTCATCGAAAAATGCGATACTGGCCTAGGAGGCGCTTGCATTTCTCGGTTTTGTATAAATAAATCCCTTTGTGGCTCAATTTGTGCACCATGCGCCTTTCCAATCAAAAGCGTAAACCCAGCTCAATAATCTTAAATATTTTGCCGATCATCAGTAACAATAAATAAGGAAAATAAAAACCCTGAGAAAATACCTTACTTATGTGATGGAGTAAATAATATATATACGCTCCTAAAATAATTACTCTTTTCTGCGCGCAGAGAACACTATTTGCACTCGGCTTTTTAATTAATTTAGACAGGTGCGTCGGCTGTCGGAGGGTTAATAGTCAACACTTCTGGCAACGACCCTCTAATTGAGGAGGCATCGCGGGAGGCGGAAACTGCAGCTCAATGCCAGGTGGCGGGATGAAAACGGTGGGCCTGGTGGGCCTGGTGGGTCAGGGACAGGAGCATCGCTTGCCTATCGGCGTGGCAATTAAAATCCAGTGTGTGGCTGGCCAGGATGTGAGGGGATCCATTAAGCCCGGCAAAGGGCGCCTGGCATCTGGCATTTGGCATTTGACATTTGACAAATACTTAACACTATTTGCCCGACTTAATAAACCCGCCTTCGTTGACTTTGCAGCCGCAAAAGGACATGAAAATGTAAGGGGCAGGGGCGGAAGGGCCACGGCGAGTCCTTTTGGGTGGAACGGGCACGGCAATGATTGATTGCACGTTAAAGCCGGAGAGCGTCACATCATTTCCCTTTTACACTTGACAGGAAATGCATTTTTAGTTGGCGCTGGCGAAATGAGCATCGGTGTGTGCTGTCCGGAAAAGAGTGTGGGTGCGGAAAAAGGATATAGGATAGCATAGGATGCGATGGGATAGTCTAGGATGGGGTGCGTCAGGATGCGGAGGAAGCGGAAGATGTACGTATGCAAAACGAAATCACAGCTAGTGGGAAAATGGAAAGAATTGAAAACGGACGAATGCAAATGCAAATGCAAAAGCCGAACCTGAATCTGAATCTGATTCTGATTCTGAACTGAGTCTGAGTCTGAGCCGAGTCACTCCATGGCCGTTTTCACAGACAATTTACACAAGAATCACAAAAATACGAGTACGTAAACATTTTGTGCGAGGCTGAGCTTGGTCATTGAGCAAACCATTCGCACGGAAAGCCCGTCCAGGTGCAAGCGTTTTACCTCCGTATTAAAGCGCCAAGTTGGCGGACTTTTGGCGAGTGCAGAGGGAAAAATAATGTATACTCGCAGTACAGACATTTATCCAATTTTAAAATACTCAATTATCTCAAAACAGGCAATAAAACACCAGAGCATCAGGCAAAAAGCACTCTAAAAATTAAATAGAACCTAGGCAGTTCAGGTCAAAGGCCTTTCATGCCCCAAATGTGTTGGTGCTATTTTAAAGCAATTAGTGTTTGCTGATGCTTATTTATTAAAGTGCTCTATTAAAAGTTATTGGGTATCGGCTATCTATCCACTTGGACTCTTCATTTATTTAAACGCACAATTCCGATGCCCATTTAGAACTTGACTGAACGAATATTTACTAATAAGAAAAGGGAAGTTACAAGGGTTTTAATATTAAATAACACAAAAACAGGCTAGTGCAGATCCAAAAGCCCCTTGGCATCCAGAGTGGCCAGCAGCTTGGCTGCACTCCTGATCACCGCCTCACTGGCATAAACCGACTTTTGGTAGCGCAGTCCATCTGGGCTCTCCGCATACAGACTCGAGAAGTCTGAGGTCTCTTCAGATCCATTATAAATCATACAAGGCTTGAACAAGTGGGCCAAAAGACCTGCAAAATATTAAGGCTTAGAGCTGTGCGTTTCACGGTTTGGTTTCACTGTACTTACTCATGAATCGGCGTCGTTCGAATTGGAGAACATATTCCTGAAGAGTGGGAAAGGAACCCTTGTAGGAGAACCTTTCCAGGTTCGCCCTCAAAGCTTTATAGTGATGCTCGACGAGCTCCGGTTCCTTGTCCCTAACCTCTTCCCTTAGAGAAGTGGTGAAGAAGTAGTGCAAGTCGATGGCGGGCGATGTGCAATTGCTGAACTGAAAATCTATGGCTACGACTGAACGAGGCTTGCCCGCATCATCGTACTGGAACATGATGTTGGTGGTCCAGCAGTCGCCATGGTTCAATGTGCTCAAATCACTTGCATTCACGTCGTAGGCCCGGGCTCCATACTCCATGATGTGGGTGCGCAGCTGGTGGAGTTTGTCGCCATAGGCATTCTTCAGATTCGGTTGGCCATCTATGAATCTCAAGAATGCCCGGAACAAACCGGCGAAGACCTCGGAGTACGCCTTCTTGTCGCGCGAAAAGAAGTGGGTGTAGAAGCACTTGGTTAGCAGGTTCGGGTGGCGTTCTTGCAGGACAATGGCGGCGGCATGGAACTTGGCCAGCATTTCCAGGGTCAGCTTGGTGTGCGCCATGTCCAGCTGCTTCACCCGGTCCGCATTGACGAACTTGCACGGCGCCAAATCCTCCAGAATCATCGTGTTGTGCCCACGGTCCACGGTGATGGCATCTGCTGTTAGCTTTCCGTCCAGGCCGGCTTGCTGCAGCAGCTCCTTCAGCTTCGGCAGGACGAACTCGTACATGTCCATTTCCCGGGTGTACAGCTCATACTCGAAGAAGACCTCCGCCTGAGGAACGTTATCGGGCAGAGCCTGTTTCACGATGTAGGTCTTCTTCTGAACCGATCCGTCGCCCAGCTGGTAGTCCACATAGATGCGGGTCATCACGCCCACAAAGTTCTCTCCTTTCCCCGTCGCTGGCTTGGCCCAGATTCCAAGGACCTTCAGCTGCTCGTCCTTGCAGTAAGCCCTTAGTCTGGGCTGCAGGTAGTCCGTGGTTAGCCAGCTGGGTAGCATTGCTTACGTTGTGCGGTTCCTCGGACTTCTGACATCTTGGCCAGCTGCTCACTATTATATTATGACGAAATGGTGTCTTATCGGAGACAATTAATTATACTATAGTGCAAACGCGATAAGCTCTGTAATGGCAATTTGTGGGCTATCACTGTTCCCAAGTGATTCCTCACTTTTACGAGGTCACTGTGAGATTGCGAATTTTACAATGAGCAGCTATCGCTTGAGATTCTTCTAGTCAATATTGATATCTAGCGAAATCTACATTCTAGATTTTTGTTTGTCCGTGCTGAAAACGTGATATTGCTAATCGTTTACCAATTGATTAAAGCTGCTTGTAGTGAAAAGTAAATTCTAGTCAGTAATCAAACGTTTACATGGTCTTGTATTTAATTGCACTGCATTAAAAATGTGATACAATTCAAAATTCAAATGTTAATTTATCGACTACAAGCTGCAATTATGCCGTGGTTGCCTTTTATTCCGAACAGGAACTCCAAGCTAATTTGGCGTTGGTATTTGCGCTGACCTATCGATCAAAAGTAGAGAACCCCGAGCGAATAATCACCTTTCCGCATTCTCTGCATGGAGTACGCACACGGGGCGGATACGTAATGGCCAGCCGTCCAACCCGGCGGATAAGACAAACGACCCGAAGCAAATCGCCGGCGTCCACGCCCCCCTCCCCCCTTCCATTAGCTATGACCACGCCTTTGTTTGACGCCAAGATGCCGACAATGACAGCAAATGCCGCCCAGCCCCATTAATCCATCAAAATTGGCGTTGAAGCCAAATCAAAATATGCGCCGGCGGCCGCGGAAGGCGTACTTAAGTGGGTGGATGGTGAAATATCTTGGTTTGAGCTTCTGATGAAAGCCACAATAACATGCATACCTCAGTTATGAAGTATGGAAAATAAGCAAACAAAATTAGCACTATTCTTCGAGGCACTACACAGCTGTAGATATTAATGCAAATCTGGTATTCCCTTTAAATCACAGCCCGTCTAAGCCCAAATTTGATTGCTTCGGGGGCAAACTAGCCCCTCGCAGTGATTCACTCAATCTCGGAACGACAAGCGACCGCAATTTTCAGCGGGTGCGCAAATAAAGAAATTAATCAATTTAACGATACGATTACAGGAAATTCGGGCGCAGGGGCGTAGCCAGCCAACTAAGAGGTGAGCGGGGGAAAATATAAAAATCACAAGATCCAAAAAATAATTCATAATAAGAGGAAAGCTGTGCAGTAAAGGACAAAAATGTTAGCAATAAGGCAATACTATTTTAAAGGACTTATGTCACAGAATATCGCATAATTGCTCAATTGAGTTAATACAACAGCAAACGTGTTGCTTGGAACAACGCATTCCAATTAATTTTAATTGGACTCCAGCTAGCCAGCAACTATCGCCTTCCAATTTGGTAGCTAACCCATTGCGACGCCCCTGGCCAGGAGTAGATCTCCTTGGACGAGTGTGCCGTCAACCGATGTGGCATTTGTCTGGCCAGGGGCAAGATGAAAAAAAAACAGAGACTGGGAGACTGTAGTCTGCCGCACGCTTTTCGGTGATTTATTTCCATTGATTTTTTACTCGAGCCCCAGCTCCGCCTCCTCAATTTCGCTGGCCGAACGAGCTTAGAGATTATGCAATCGCGCCGAATAGAACCACCCAAGTCAATCGGTTTGTGGCCCATTGACGACGGCCGAACAATGCGACGCCTACAACGCGAACGCTGGCTAATTATAAAGTTGCTAAGCGGATTTGGCAGTCGCTCGAGAACGGAACAAAGAAATCTAGATTATGTGACAACTTCCCTACAAGCCCCATACAGATCCAATCATCAGATTCCCCGCCGCCGTTTTGCCAGCGCAATCCATTCATTAAGTGGAAGTCAGCTGCAAGTTGCAAGATGCAAGCTAATCAGCATAAATTGCATTGCATCCAGCCAAGGGGAGCCCCCAGCTAATTTCCCTGCATTCCACAATGTGTCGCCGGCAAAAAGGAGACACTCTGGCGATCAAAGGCAACTCAAGGGTTGCATCAGATCCGGCTAATACGCTTTAACCAAATTCAAATTCAATTCGAGCCATGCGAAGAAGGCTCTGTGCCAAATTAAACTAATAAAGTCTTCAAACAAACAGAGACGCTCCTTTGACTAGTTCACTGAGAGAAAGAAAGTGCTAGCTTAAACTTAAACTAAAAGAGTTTAAAAATCAGTATTTAAATGTTTATATTCAGTGAGCCATTTGGAACTTGTAATTTGATTAGTTTTAAAAGGATTTATCGATCTATCAGGTCCTTACCCTCCTAATACATTAAAGTCAGAAAAAGCCCTTTCCTTTCAATTTTACTTATACCTTTTCTGTAGGGATTGAAAGAACGCATACAACACTTCCAATTTCCTCTATATGCACCCTCCACTTTAAGATTTTTCTTTACAAATATGCACTAATTAAAGGTTGCGCTCCCCTTAAAGCCAAGACCCAGGATTTTATTGAAGTGTGGGTACAACGTTCGCTTTTGTTGTATAGTAAAAAAGAAGGTCTCAGAGCTGAGCCATAGTTTATATTCCTTTTCCTTATTTTCTCGCCCTCGCTGAAATGCAATGCATGTGCGCTGATATTTGCCGCGCAGAATATTTTAATTAAAAGCAATTTCTACAATGTCAAACAACGTCAACGCACAGCGGAGTTCAGGCTTCATAAAGTGTTTTTCACAGCCATAAAGAACGGATACGGCGGGTTGCGGATGTCGCGGGAGCTGCTCCACCAGCTCCACGTCCTGCCGATCCTGCAAATCCTGCATCCTGCATCCTGCTGCTCCCGCTGATGATGCCAAAGTGTCAACAAGTTGATGATGTAGGTGTCGCTGGCATGTTGACTGCCAAAGGACTGGGGAGCTGCAAAGGGAATCCGGCGGTCGGGACAAAGGCCAATCAATATGCAAAGCAGTCAACATTTGGAGCGACCAAAGGTGTCGGCTGTGCCGTTGCAGTGATTATCGCCCACACTCGATTCAATTGTCTAGGCTGCAGGTCCTCTAAACACTCATTGTTTGACTATTTGCGCTGGCTGACTGGGCGTTGATTTTTCGAGTGTGTCACTACAGAGTGCCGAAAGCCAAGTCCAAGGACTCTCTGCTCACTACCTTTTTAGGCATAAACAAGGACCCGCCCGGCGGAGTCTGCACTTGCCAAGCCAACGACATTGTCTCTGATTCAGTGACTCCTGGCGGCAGACGCAAATGCAATCAGTTCCTGCTGTACAGAGTAACAAATTGCCTTCAATTCGGGTCCTGCCACAGTAGAATCAAGATACAAAAGCTAAAAGTAAGAACCATTTTACTAAGATAATTACATTTTTTAAATACTTTTTAGAAGGACTGCGTCAAGCTGCTGATATAAAATTTGTTTATATTTGAAAAAAAGCTGGAAGCAAGAATATTTTTACTGATTTTGGGAAATATGTTTAAATACGTTCAACTAAATGACTTGTTCTAGCTTTAACTTCAACCTGATGTTCTCAAGATTTATTTGAATTATATTAAGCCAGCTTACTGACTCGAATTTGATCCTTGGGTTTTAGAAAGGAATTAAGAACCAGAAGCCTGTAAAATTGTTATTTTTCTGGAGCTTTACACGTGAATCTAAAGGTAAAAGACTTGAAAACACAATTGCTGGGGATAAAGAGTATATTGTCATGGCATTATCCGACTTTTTCCTTCGCTGTGTAGCCCATTGTTGCTGGTGCAACTGCTGCTGTCGCTGCCAGACACTCAAAACAATCAGGACTCAAAAACAGCATGAGTGATGTGTCGGATGACGACGCATGTCGGGGGTCTGTCTGCCCCCTAAAACCCCTTTCCAGCTGCATCCTCCGAAGCCTCCCGAAGCCCCCGATCCACCCGATCCCCCCGATTCCTTCGCCCGGCACTCTCGGGTGCTCAGGTTGCACTTTTTGCCGGCACTTAAGCGCCTTTAAATATGCAGCACAGCCAAGCGCAGACACACTCTCGGCCAAGTTTGTTGTTAGCCCAGATTGCTGATGCATAGTTTAAGCCCCCACCTCATCCTCCTCCTCATCCTCAACCCGTTCCCGTTCCCGCTCCAGCTACTGCTCATCCTGTCAGCCGAATGCGGAATACTGGCACTGCAAGTTGCCACATCTCTCACCGTGGACTGCCGCTCGCACTTTAAAATTCCCCAGGACTTATGGTCGTATTTTCCGAAAACAAAACAATAAAACTTGTCCCCCACAACCGAGGCAAAAAGATTACCAATTTGTATATGATAAGTGCTGAAATTCATTTGCTTATCTCGAATGAAACTTTCCGAAGCAAACCAGACTCCATTACTGCTCGTATTGAGTCCGTCTTAAAGCCTGGTCAAGCAACATGGCACAGACAGAGGCGTGGACCGAAGGGGTCCTCTCCGCCGCATGACCACATACATTTTTTAAATGCCCCAAAGTATGCTGCAGAATTTATATTTTGTTTGCAAATTGTTTGCCCGTGTTTAAAGTTGTAGATGCCACCGCTCCCAAAACTCCTTGTTTCATATAGGTTCAGCTTCAATATTTATTGTTGCTGGCCGAAACAAAGTTGGTTGTGATGTCTGCACTGGCAAAAGTGAAAATGAAAATTTATATGCATAATTTGTTGGCATTTGAATAATACACCAAGTGCTGTACGCCTAACCACACCGAATGAAAGTTTGCATTGAATTGAAAAGGGGCGGTCGACAACCCACTGGAAACACTTTAAAACGTTCATGACCATGTATAAATATTATGTATCCCATTAGCCATTCTAACTATCTTATGTATTTAGGTATAAATATCTAGAAATGTGCGTAATTTTCACTTTTTGTATTTAAAGTTTTCCAAAAACCACAGTTGTTAATAATAAAATAAACAACAAAGATTTAAAAAAAAAAAAAATTCCAAAGGCAGAATGAAGCGTTCAGACCATATAAAGTACCTCTTAATGTCTCTGGCGCAGTTCTCTAAAAAACTGCATTCAAATTTAGAAATTTA